ATTGAAATGAGTTTTAGTACCGAATCCAGTGTTTTGTCACTAAATATATGATTCAAATGATGGAAGTGTTTGGGGACTGAGAACTGTTCCACACTTAAGTGGTTCTGGAGGAATGCCACGACTGTTGGCCATTGTTTCAAATAATCGTCGCTTAAGACATTGGCATCGATTTGAGTGATCGTTGACTTGGGCTTTGATTCAAATACTTGAGAGTTTTGGCTGAAATGACACACAAATCATGGGATTCACAGATAATACTCAATGAAACGGTGGACAAGACTTACCGATGAGTACCCCATATAAAGACGGGAACTCCTGAGCCATCGGAGGAATGGACGCGATTGACACGAAATGAGATCAATATTAAGACATAATTTATCAAAACAAACGTTGCCTTCGGACTCATTATCACTCAATTGGTCTCTGTATGGACAGTGATGTCAGTTATGCATCAGTTCTTCAGATCTATTCACGGATTCATTGATTATTTGGTGCTTTAATTGAGATTCAAATGACAAATGCAATGATTTTTGTCAATAAAATCATTGAATGAATGAATGAATCGATAAATTGAATGCACTTTTGAGCGCAAACTCAATGCAAACGAAAACATTGCATAAGTTTTCGGTTGAAAAACATTGCAATGATTTTTGTACACAAATGCCAAACATGTGTTCAAATGTTATTCACAGGTATTTCAATGATTTAATTTAGTTTTCATTTGTATTTATCACACAAACTATGCTTTCATTACACGAGTTGTCTGTCTGTAGGCTCACGAGTGGACATAAACTATGGTTTTCATTACACAACCAAATATCACTCAAAACATGTAATCAATTGATGACCAAAAAGAGTCATTTGTGTCCAAATTATTATCATATCCGATGTCTGAGCCACAATTCATACGATTGGATGCAAAGTCGAGGAATATTGAAGAGTCACTTCCCAGAAAAGTAAGACCTCTTAAGTGATAATCAATGATAAAAAAGTTTGTGAACTTCTTAGAGAAGACATAAACGAGTTGTTGTCATCCAAACGGACCATTTATGCCGGTTTTGACGCCACTTATGATAGTCTTCACGTCGGGAACCTATTAGTGTTGATATCATTGCTTCATTTGCAGCGATTAGGGCATAGAGTGATTGTACTGATAGGCGACTCGACCGCCAGAATCGGTGACCCGAGCGGTAAAACTGAAGACCGGCCGCTGATTGAGAAGGAAGTGGTTATGAGTTATGCGACGAGTATTGAGAAGAGTGTGAAAAGGATTTTTGAAAATCACAAGAAGTACTTCTGGAAAACCAAAGGCAGAAACGATAGACTCGAGGACTTTATGTATTGATTTTGTTATTAAGTTTAGGCATTCAATTGATTTGCATTTAAAGTATCGATTGTTTTATGTATTGAAGGATTTGTCGCAACAGTGAGTGGTATAGCGATAAGAATGTCATTGATTTCATGAGCAGTTTTGGCCGATACCTAAGAGTGACAACAATGATGGGAAAGACTATTAAAGACCGATTAGAGACAANATATTGATCTCATTTCGTGTCAATCGCGTCCATTCCTCCGATGGCTCAGGAGTTCCCGTCTTTATATGGGGTACTCATCGGTAAGTCTTGTCCACCGTTTCATTGAGTATTATCTGTGAATCCCATGATTTGTGTGTCATTTCAGCCAAAACTCTCAAGTATTTGAATCAAAGCCCAAGTCAACGATCACTCAAATCGATGCCAATGTCTTAAGCGACGATTATTTGAAACAATGGCCAACAGTCGTGGCATTCCTCCAGAACCACTTAAGTGTGGAACAGTTCTCAGTCCCCAAACACTTCCATCATTTGAATCATATATTTAGTGACAAAACACTGGATTCGGTACTAAAACTCATTTCAATGACCTTTGGTTTCAAACGATTAGAAAATTGTTTTAAAATAAATTTTTTTCTCAGATCTTCTTAACAGATGTCTTGAGTCCAGACGAGTCTTTCAAAGAGTTTTTCGTTCAAAATGCAAATGATTTGAATATAAATGACGGGAAAAAAGTTGTCATAAATCTACCCAAAAATGATTTACTAGAAAACGAGGAACTGATCGGCGATTTGTGGCATAAGATCAGTCATAATGTGTCGCAAAACGTATTGTTTGTGATAACGGGTCGACACAACACTCAGACATATAACAAGAGTGGAGTGGAAGTGAATCATCGGTTCCGACGAGCCGTGAAGCCAAACGACGATTTGGATCGATTGGTGTCCATTGAGTCGTGTCTCTACTTCTTCACGCGCTCTCTGACCCTCACATACAATCCCGGCCAACGGTACGGCCGTCCTATCGTCACCACATTTGACACCATTCCTAGACCAGCGTTGGGTGAGTCCAAGTGCTGGACAGACGGCGCCAAAGGATCCGCCCTTTTGGACCTCACGTATACCAATACCGACGGAACTCTTAATATTAAGCTAACGATTGACATGAAGAAGAGGTAATGAATAGAGTTATTGTTATTGAGACCAATGTATTAATCATTGCTTATATTTGCAGCGGTTATTGGTTTGTGAGTAAAGGCACAGCAGTTGTCGGCTCTGCCAGAGATAATCAGGATTACGAGCTCAATGTGAACGGTATCACCGCTGCCAACAAATTGTCGTACAGCTGTTCCAACCTCAAGATTGACGGCTTAGACGGTATGATTTGCAATACTTATTAAATGAATTGATATTTACTTTTATAAATTCAATCACCCTGGACTGTTTAGATGTGGAGGACATCAGTATAGTATTCAACAAATTTCAATTACAGCCGTTTGAGAATCCGGTCAATCCTAAGAAATATATATTCACAGACAGTGATGCCTGTGAGGTGTTTATGACTGTCCCTCTTTGGATGGGTTTATTGACCATAAGTCTGTTCTTAATAATCCTATTGTTGGGACTCTATATGCTATGGGGAGTCAGTCCGCCCGACCGTTTCGAGAACCCGAAGGGAAAGGCATTGATTTTGACGACTGTTGACGAATAAGATTTAGTCATTATTTCATTGTATAGATTATGAATGTATGCATTCATTCAACATAACAACTATGTATTAATAATTCATTTAGTGTCACGTCAACTAATCTTAATCTCAATAATCCTAAACTTATAAATCTCTAAATAGTGTGTAATTCTAATTGATCTCAAGAATTGTTTTGAATGTATTGTTTATGTAAATTTGGTTTTATATATAAACGGCAATAATATATGATTTAATATAACTTATAATAAAATTTATGCTCATTTTGTAGAAACAATTTTCTTTTCTGAACCATCGCTCAGACCCCAGGTGTCCGTCGCTGTGCGCCTCCACAGGTCTTCGCCAGTGAGCCCATCCAAGTGGAGGCCCAACCCCTGCACTACCAGACCATCCAAGAGTGCAGTCCTCTCTATGGTCCTCTAATTATGAGTGAATTAATTAAATGCAAATAATTGTGAAATGCATTGAAAGTCAGTGTTTGCGTGAAGTGTGTGACGAATGGGACGTACTTTATGTGCAAATAATTGCGTCCAATGTTTACGAGAGACTGACTGACAGTGAGATTGAATGATGTCTTCTTCAGGAGGTTATGATATCTCGAGGTTTGTGGCACTGGACCC